GTTGTTAATGCTGTTGCTGGTCTTGATGTTGTTGTTGGTGGTGGTGTTGTTATTGCTGTTGCTGTTGTTGTTGTCGTCGTCCGCTACGCGTCCCGGCCTGCGATCCACCCGCGACCCACCCGCAACCCTCTCGCGACCCACCCCGCCACCCTACAGCGACCCACCCGCGACCCGCCCCGCGACCCGCCCGCGATCCATGCTTGACCCACCCGCGACCCGCGACCCACGACCCTGCCAGCGAGCCACCCGCTGCCCACCAACGCCCCACCCCGCGACCCACCCATATTGCTGTAACAAAAAATTCGGCGCCTGCGGCGGGCTCAACTGCATAATTTGTAAAAAAGCTTGGCGCCTGCGGCGGGCTTCTTCAGAGCCTCGCAGACTGCCGACGTCCGCGCCACCCCTCACTGTTATCCGCAACTGCGGGGTGCTACATAATCAAGCGCGACGTGCGCTCCGAGGGCAGGCTGGCCGCAAGAGCAAACATGCGCAGCAACCACCGATCGGACGACGTATCAATCGTGACAGGGGTCACGGCGTCACGCCGTCCCGTCGACAACATAACATACCAGATTCTAGCACGGCAAAAAAAAACATAATCGAGTACAACATACTTGAACAGTGTTAAATACAGCAACGACATATTCAGGGTGCATTGTCAAACGCAGCATCCGCGCCTGGCCACAAGAAAAAACAGGCGCGACAACGACCGATTCGACGGCGTATCCAACGCGACAGGCTCCACGACGCCACGACGCCACGTCGAGGCCAGAACAGAAACAAACACATGTATATAATACAGAACGGAAACGAACACAGCCTGAAATAGTATAATTCAACAGAGACCGAGTACTAGCGGCCTATCATACGCGACATGCCCGCCAAGGCCAGGTTGGCCACAGAAACTACCAGTAGCAGCAACGACCTATCATAAGACATACCAAATGTGAAATGCGTCACGACGTCACGCAGGCCCGCCCACAACATAACAACACAGAACGCAGTGTCATATACTACACTGGTGCAGAATCGAACCGAACATGGTATATCACAATATTACGTATACGCCAGCCACCACTTTACGGCGTCTCATCAAACGCGACATGCACCCCGTCGTCAGAGGAGGACGGGGCGCCCGGAGCAGGAGGAAAGAGAGGTCCGCTGCTCCTCCTCGTGCTGCTGCTGTTCCTCTTCCTCTTTCAACACGCTGCATACTCTCTCCGGACAAGATCTGGGGTCTCGCAAAACATTTTGGAGGCTGGTTTGTCGATCTTGGGACTCGTTTCGGTTTCTTTTGTCAAGGGACCTGGGGTTGTTAGACTTTCGGAAAACATCAACTTGCGACCTGGCCCGGCCGCCGCGCTGGCCGAAACCGCCGGGCCCCGCGCACGTCGTTCCAGTAGGCGCGCGCACCGTTGTTCGGTGGGGATCGCTCGAAGCAAAGTAATGCCGTGCTGCACCATGTTCGCTCCTTGGGGGGGGCGGGCTCTCGGGCGACTGGGGCCCCCTGGGCAGATCCCCCGCTGAGCGTGCCCCTGAGCGCGCGAGGCGGCCTCCGAGCGCCGTGGCCCCGTCCCCCCAGCTCCTCCTCCCCCCCCTCCTCCCTTTCCTCCTCCTCCTCCTCCTCCTCGTCCTCCTCCTCCTCGTCCCCCTGCTACTGCACTACACATCATCCTTCTCCTTCGCCTGCTCCCTCTCCTCCTCCTTCTCCTCCTCCTCCTCCTCCTCCTCCTCCTCATCGTCCTCCTCCTCCTCCTCCTCCTCCTCCTCCTCCTCCTCCTCCTCCCTTCTCCCCGCGCAGCGCGGGGGGGCGGCTGGCCCCTCTGGAGACGCACACGACGGCCGCGCAATGGGCCGCCGCGCCCACGAAGAGGAACGACCCGGCAGGCACCCCTGCCGCCGGGCCGTGGCCGGGCGTTCGGGGGGCAGCGGGGAGAGGAGGAAGAGGAGGAGAAGGAGGAGGAGGAGGAGGAGGAGGAGGAGGAGGAGGAGCAGGGGGAGGAGGAGGGGGGAGGAGGAGGAGGAGGGGGGAGGAGGAGGGGGGGAGGAGGAGGAGGAGGAGGAGGAGGAGGAGGAGGAGGAGGAGGAGGAGAGGAGGAGGAGGGAGGAGGGAGGAGGAGGAGGAGGAAGGAAGAGGAGGAGGAGGAGGAGGGGGAGGAGGAGGAGGAGGAGGAGGAGGAGGGGAGGAGGAGGGAGGAGGAGGAGAGGAGGAGGAGGAGGGGGGGGAGGAGGAGGAGGAGGAGGAGGAGGGAGGAGGAGGAGGAGGAGGGAGGAGGAGGAGGAGGAGGAGGAGGAGGAGGGAGGAGGAGGAGGAGAAGGGGAGGAGGAGGGGGAAGGAGGAGGAGAAGGAGGAGGAGGAGGAGGAGGAGGAGGAGGAGGAGGAGGAGGAGGAGGAGGGGGGAAGGAGGAGGAGGAGGAGGGAGGAGGAGGAGGAGGAGGAGGAGGCGGGGCGGCGCAGGTGGCACAGGGCACCGCAGCGCCCGTGCCCCCTGGGGCAGGACGCAGAGGGACACAGCCTCAGATCGTGCGGGCGCAGCAAGTGCGGGCAGAATAAGAGGAGGTGCCGGGAGGGGGGGGGGGCAGGGGGGGGGAGGAAGGGACATCGGTGAGCGTTTTCTGATTCGGCGTTTCGACATTGGGCGGAAGAGGGGGGGCAGGGGGGGGGGTCTGGCGTCTGCCTCCGGGCCTCCGCTCAATGCGACTTTGTCCAGCAGTGCGTCCCTATGGGGGAGGCTCCACCTGCTCGAAACAAGCGCCAAGAGACAACAAGCGCCAAGAAACAACCAAGAAGATCTACTCCAGGGGGGGGCGCGAGGGCCCGCGTTGATCGGCAAAACAATGCATGAGAAAACGATCACCAGAGGGAGCCGACGCCTCGTCCGCACGACCTGTTTCGGGCACGGCGGGAGGCGCTTACACCGCAGCCGCGTGCTGCTGCCTGCCGTCGCTTGCGGCCGCCTGCTGCTGCTGCTGCTGCTGCTGCTGCTGCTGCTGCTGCTGCTGCTGCTGCTGCTGCTGCTGCTGCTGCTGCTGCTGCATGCTGCCAGGTGTTGGCTGGTGCTGTTTGCTGGTGCGTGACCGCTGGTCTCTGCTGCATGGGCGTCTCTTCGCGCCTCTTGAAGCCCCTGCTTGGAGCCTCTCGTGTGATGTTGTCCAAGGTCTTCGGGCCCCTCGGGCAGCACAGAATCCTTCTGCGCCGTTTGGACAAACCCTCGTAGGCTGCCAGGGGCCTCGATTGGGACCCTCTTTGGCAGTCTTCGGAATTTCTGAGGGGTCTCTTGGGGACTCCACGGGGGCCTCGTGCACCTTCTTGACTCGTGTGGAGGGGGCGCATGAGGGCCCCTTGAGCGTCGTCTTGGGCCGTCTTGATACTACCTCAGGATGCCTTGTATCACTCCTGAGTCCCAATTGGGCTCTCTCGGGGCTCCCCCAGGGCCCTGTGGACCAGGGTTGGCAGATGCTTGAGACCCTCTCGGGCCGTCTTGGAGCCATCTGAAGCCCTCCTGTACGGCGATGAGCAGACGAAGAATCCAATCATCGTGCTACCATGAAGAACGCAGAAATAAGGAACGGAGGGGCGTTTCTGGCCACGGCAGGCCTGTTCCACAAACAGGCTCGAAACACAAGAGTCTAGGGAACGGCCCGAAAACCTAAGCCCCTCCTAAGCCCAAAGTGGTCCTGCGTTCGCCGACGACGACAAGGACGGCGCCCCTCTGACCGAGGAGCAGAAGCAGGAGAGGGCGTTGAGAGCCATGAGGGAGGAGGTGTCGGTGCACGTCGAGAAGGCGGAGTACGACGACCAGGCGCGGTTGTTGAAGCAGCACAGCTATGGGGCCACGATCCTCGTGAGGGGTGTGCCGAAATGGCCCGGGGCCGCCATGGGAACCCTGCCACTGGGGGCCTTCGGTGAAGCTCCCTATGGGGCCACGATGCTCGTGATGGGGTGTACCGAAATGGACCGAGGCCGCGGTGCGAACCCTGCCACTGGGGGCCTTCGGTGGAGCTCCCTATGGGGCCACGATCTTCGTGAGGGGTGTGCCGAAATGGCCAGAGGCCGCCATGCGAACCCTGCCACTGGCGCTTTCGGTGAAGCACCTATGTGGCCACGATCCTCGCGTGGGGTGTGCCGAAATGGCCCGAGGCCGCCATGCGAACCCTGCCGCTGGCGCCTTCGGTGGAGCTCCCTATGAGGCCACGATCCTTGTGAGGGGTGTGCCGAAATGGCCCGAGGCCGCCATGGGAATCCTGCCTCTGGGACCTTTGGTGGGGCTCCCTATGGGGCCACGATCCTCGTGAGGGGTGTGCCGAAATGGCCCGAGGCCGCCCGAGGCCGCCATGCGCACTTTGCTACTGGCGCCTTCGGTGGAGCTCCTATGGGGCCACGATCCTCGTGAGGGGTGTGCCGAAATGGCCCGAGGCCGCCATGCGCACTTTGCTACTGGCGCCTTCGGTGGAGCTCCTATGGGGCCAGGATCCTCGTGAGGGGTGTGCCGAAATGGCCCGAGGCCGCCATGCGCACTTTGCTACTGGCGCCTTCGGTGGAGCTCCTATGGAGCCACGATCCTCGCGAGGGGTGTGCCGAAATGGCCCGAGGCCGCCATGCGCACTTTGCTACTGGCGCCTTCGGTGGAGCTCCTATGGGGCCAGGATCCTCGTGATGGGGTGTGCCGAAATGGCCCGAGGCCGCCATGCGCACTTTGCTACTGGCGCCTTCGGTGCTCCTATGGGGCCACGATCCGTCGTGAGGGTTGTGCCGAAATGGCCCGAGGCCGCCATGCGCACTTTGCTACTGGCGCCTTCGGTGGAGCTTCTATGGGGCCAGGATCCTCGTGAGGGTGATGATGATGGTGATGATGATGATGATGATGACGACGACGACGACGACGACGACGACGACGACGACGACGACGATGCGAGGAGGGAGGGGGCAGCGGGAGGAGGAAGGAACGCGGGGATGGTTGGGAATAATGCCCCAGAGATAATCGAGTTCGGGGTTGAGCGGGGGATTAGAAGTATTGCCCTGGCAAGTCTCAACATAAAAAACAACGTCCTAACTGAAGGTGAGGGGGATGGGCAGGAGGATAAGGATGATGTGATGTTGCTCGGAAGGTGATTTGTCAAATTATGCCATCGGAATCACTCACATCCCGATACCCTGCTCGCTTTAGCGGGGCCTCCCTGGTGGGGTGGGAGGAGCACGAACCTTAGAAATTGTACGGTCAGTATAGGTGTATATACATATATCGGAATAAGAGATGGTGACAGACAACGATAATATGCACCATTGCCTCGCCAATCATGCCAACACCTATCATTTTCCTCGCTGGGCAGTCTTGCGAACGTGGCCAAAACTCCGGCCAAGGCTTCGGGCCATGCCACGATCACGTTGCTGCAGGCGCCAGCTGGAGCGGACAAACCCTGCTCCCCTAGACAGAGAGACGCAAACAAAAGGAGCCGTATGTCACAGTTATTGCCTGGGCGAGCGGTCGAGGAGGAGGAACGACGCCACGAGCCGGGGAACTGAGCCACATCCCCAAACGGTCGGCGATGGCCCCGGAGTCGGCCCCCCCCACCGGAAGGGCCCTGGCAGTCCGGCCTGGTCCCACCTCCTCCCCTCACTCTCTTCTACAGTAAGCCCTCGCCCTCTCCTCCCCCCTTCCCACCTCTTCTCTTCTACCTCTGCTCCTCCGCCCCTCCCATCTTCTCCATCTCCCTCTCCTCCCTCTCCCTCTCCCACTCCCTCTCCTCCCCCCTCCCCTCCCTCTCCTCTACAGTAGGAGCTCGACCACAAGAGACCCTCCACAAGAAAAAAACAACCCTGAGACCCCAGGGCGTCCATTGATTATTGGCGCGGGAGCGTCACGCCCTCCACAGCAGAAGCAGCGAAACAGGGCACCCTGGAGGCAAACAGGGTTTTTCTTGGCACGGGTTCCCACTGTAAGACGAAGCCAGGATGAGGATAACATCGGGTAAGGATAATTCATGCCCGTGCGCACAAGAGAGGAGAGGGAGGGGGGAAAACTTATGAAAGGCGGCTGCCTTTCAGAAGGCACCGGCCGCCCTTCTGAAAAGCCAGGGGAGCGCCGCTTCTTACGAACACCCCAGCAGCTTCTTAAAAGCACGGACATGCTTCTTAGAAGCCAACAGCATACTCTTAGAACCAAGCAACCTGCTCCTAAGAACTCACACCAGGAACAGCTTCCAAGAAGCAACCACAAGCTCCTTACAATGGGCGCCCGCACCTCCTAAGAAGAGAGAGTGCTCCTAAGAAGCGTTCCCGCCTTCCGCCACCCCCTTCTGTAGAGGCCTCCTAGATGGGGTCGGAATAGATAGGGTCGGAGGAACGCGCCGAATCGCCGATACATCGGCGATGTATCAGCGATGTATCGGCGATGCCCCAGCAATGCGTCGTCGACGTCGATGATGTATCGGCGACGTCGGCGTGGGGAAACACGGTCTCCACATCGAGCGGCATCGGCGATGCATCGGCGATGCGGTGCGATCCACCGACCACATCCACTCGGACCCCATCTGGGAGGCCTAGACTCTGCGCGTGGCGGCTCTGGAGTTTGTCTCGGGCGCCTGCGTAGCCCCGTCCGACCTCTCCTCGCCGGACTCTCGGGGCAGAGTTGGCCAGGCTGACCTGGCGTTTTACTCTCAGCTGTTGGGGTCCTCACCTCGTTTGTAACTCCGGCCGGGAGGAGTGGCCTCAGGCGAGTCTGGCCGGCTTCTTCCTTACCCCCTGCTACTTGTCTCGGCCTTCGGCCGAGGGTGTCCAGGCCAGTGAAAGCCTGTCATCATCAACACCAACAACATCGAACCCTTTCCGATATCTCGCACAACGCCCACTTTCTGCATCCGTCTGGTCTTCCATCTCCTGCCCACGGCCAATAGCGGCCCAGCCTCCGCGGAGCGACGCGGCGAAGACCTGGCAGGGTTCACAAGACAGAAATGAGAGACAAAATATGCCGAGGCATTGCTGCTATCTTGACTGTCGATGAGCGTGTGCTCAATTCGCCGCAGTCGTCTCGCATGGCCGTTTGAGGTTGAAAACGACTTTTCGTCTATAAGACATCCTCACATAGAGGCCTCCTAGATGGGGTCGGAGTAGATGGGGTCGGAGGGTCGCGCCGCATCGGCGATACATCAGTGATGCATCGGCGATGCATCGGCGATACATCGGCGATGCACTGGCGATGCATCGGCGATGCGTCGGCGATGCATCGGCGCCGTCCGCGTGAGGCAAACCGGGCTCCACATCGAGCCGCATCGGCGATGCATCGGCGATGCGGCGCAATCCTCCGACCCCATCTGCTCCGACCCCATCTATCGGGTCGGGCGAAAGGGGGGGATAGCAAAGGGGGGGGTTCAGAATCAGCTCACGTAGCTGATTTTCCCGGCGCCTCCCGGCGCTGGGAGGCGCCAATGTATCGAGGAATGGGCCCCTCGGTAGGGCCGAAACCAGCTGCATGCAGCAGATTTCGTAACCCCCCCTTTCCCAATCCCCCCCTTTCGCCCGGCCCGAATCTAGGAGGCCTAGATCACAACTCGCTCTGAAACTGGCCACGATGCGAGAGAGTCGCCGCAGGAGAACTCTGCCCGGTCCGAGGAGGCGAGGGCGCCGTTCGAGCAGGGTGTCGGTCAGCGTGCCTCGCTTCGCCCCCGCGTGTAGGGGGGGACCAGCTCGGAGCCGGAGCACTTTGACCTGGCATCTGCAATGCATCGCCGACAGATCGGCCATGGGCCCCCGATATCGAACCCGAACGCTCCTGGACGGGGCGGGCTAAGAAGCCCCAGTCGGCGACGAATGGGCGATTGAGGGTGGATGCATTTCCCCCCCCCCCCCCCGAGCCCATCGCCCGCAGACGTTGCCTCTGAAGACGGAAGAGAGCGGGAACCCCTGGGAACGGTCGGGATGCCACTGCGAAAGCCTACACGCATCACACGGGGCACGTGAAGACAGGACACAAGCCAAAGGCCGCGAGCCAGCCGCGAGCACCGTCTTCGGCAGGCCGCGAGCGAGAGGCATAACAGGAAGCCAGCACAACCACACGGCCCAGACGCTGGCACGCCCAGCGGGTAGGCTGCAGAAAACGAGGGTGCGATGCCCGACTTCAGATGCCGTCCAAAACCAATAGCGGCCGCTGCTGGGCAGGCGGGCTTTGCTTTGGCGCAGGGATCGGCCGTCCCGACACTCCTATAGGCCTGCCACGAAGTGCTCTTATAATGAAATCAGGTTCGAAGGACAAAGCAATAATGCTCGTATAACTCAAAGCACATGCATTCAAACAAGACAGTCTCAACCAAAAATGTCCATCAAACAAAAAGACATGTCGTGCAAACTACCACAGGTTCCTAGAACATTCTTAGGTGGGCCTGCAGGCAAGCCCGGACGCCTCGCCAGTGCTGGACTGCTGCCTCACAAGAACCGCGTCCGCGGCGTCACCGACACCGAGCCCTGTTCAGGCCAGGCAGAGACTGGTGGTGGTCTTCGCTCCCATTCTCTCTGTACAGTCGGGGGCCTTGACCTAAGGAACCCAAAATAAGGAACGAGGCCCTTTTTTTCCATAAGTTGACCTTCGATTCCCGATCGAAAACATGAGGAAAACCTGAGGCGAGCTGCGGAACGATTACGGAACGCGGAGCCCCTCCCCAACGAAAAAAGGGTTCCCTCTTCGGGGCCCCGACTGCACCCGTCTCGATGCTCCAGGGGGTGGCGCGGAGAGACCTGCGAGCCGAGCACCGACCCCACCACCTTAGGAGGCAACTACTGGGAGGTTTTCGTCGGAAAGATTAAGGAGGATTAAGCCCCATTTGGGAGCTGTCACGCCGGAGTGGGCCTCGGACTAAGCAGGATTTAGCCGGATTAAGCGGAATTAAGCGGGATTAAGCCGGATTGAGCGGCATTAAGCCAGATTAAACCGGATTAAGCCGGACTTCGGACCAGGGCAAAATCAGAATTTAACCTCCCAGGAGTTGCATCCGAAACCACCTGCGCCGCCGTGGAGGCCCCGGACACCGTGCCGGCGAGCGCGCCCTGGTGGGACTCCGGGACGGCCTCTGCGGCGAGCGCCCGGCTCTCTCGCGGGAGCGGAGAGCGGAGGCGCGGGCAGGGAAGGGCAGGACGGCAGCAGCGTGCGCGGAGGGGCAACGCGAGGGGTGGGCTGGCTCAGGAGGGGAGGCATCGATCTGGAGTCGGCGATGCGTCGCCGAGGGAGAAATGTGGCGACAGGCCCCCGAAAAGTAGCAAATCCACAGAATGTCCTGGGCGGGGTGGGCTACCAGGCCCCTCGGCGATGCATCGGCGACTGGGGGTCGACGCATTCCCCCCCTGACCCCATCACCCACCAGCGTTGCCCCTGATGTGCCCAGGAAGCCCAACAAGGGGTGCAGCTGGAAGGGGGTCATGCTTCTAGAGTTTGGACCTGAGTCGTTGCAATGACGCGCGCCCCTGGTGCGGTTCCCCACGGCGATGTCACGATGAGAGCGGGTCACACGCCCGCTCACACTGTGAGCGGGCGTGTATTCCGTGCTTGGGGGCCCTCTGTGAGACAGCACCAGGGGTCACTCAGGCGAAGTGTCGCCCTTGGCCACATAGGGCCAGCCCAAAGATCCAATGTGTTGTTTCTAATGCGGGGGAAGTCCCGACCCTTGAGAGTGGGGTGCCTTGAGACTCCCTACTCTGGATGGGGCAATCATCGCCCCCTCCTCGGATCCGCTGGGGGGGGTTGGACACGCGCTGTCGACATGGGTGGAGGGGGGGGTTGGAGGAAGAGGATCAGGATGAGGAGGGGGAGGAGGATGGAGGGGGGCGGGATGGGGCAGGCTGAGTCAGAAGGTTAAATACACCCCCCCCCCTTGAAAAACCCCTTGAAAAAAAAAAACATCAAGAGTACCAACCTCCGCAGGTCAGGAGCGACAAGAATACCACCACCACCACCTCGGGGGGTGGCCGCTCCCTCCCCTCGAGCTGGTGGCACCTCCTTCCGGGAACTCCCTGGAGGCATGCCCAGAACGAGGTGCCACCAGCTCGAGAAGGGTGGGACCGCCACCCCCCCTTGCCTCTGCCAGGGTCTCGCGCACGCGGCGCGGCCCCACGCGCTCCCCCGGAGCTCGAGGTGTGTGGGCCCCCGCGTGGGAGGGCCGCGCCCCGAGGTGCTGGCCGCACTCTCCGCGGCGAGGCAGCTCGCTGCCGAACCAGCTAGAGGGAAAAGAACTATGCACATGCACCGATTCTGGCCAGGCCCATCTTGAGCCCAGGATCGGTGCATACGCCCTCCTACCTTGGCCAGGAAGGCATATGCACCGATCCTGGGTCAAAAATGGGCCTTGCCAGGATCGGTGCATGTGCATAGTTCTCTTCGCCCGACCAGCGCCGCCCAACCGCTGCGCAGCAGGCAGCGCACGACGACGCGGCGGCGGCACCGCGCCGGAGAGCGGCAGAGCGTCCGGCAGTGCGGCTCGCCCGCTGGCCAGGAGACAAAGCTGGGAGAACACACACACACACACAAGAACAGAAGCACAGAGTCTCGGAGGTCCGCGCCGACGTCTTGGATCGGCGCTGGACCACCCTGGCGTCGCCTGTGGCGCCGCCCCCAGACCTCCGAAAGCATTCTCCAAGGAATCCACGCGTTCACGCTTAAAGTTTATGCTTGTGTGAGCAGGTGTTCCCAGAATCTGGGACCCAGATGTACATCGGCCCATTCCTGACCCACCTGGTCACCAATCGACCAACATCCACGCATTGCTGAAAACGAATACCTGCTTCCGCGACCGCGCCTCTATATGTCTGCATGTGTGTATGCCTGCCCGCCTGGATCCGTTGTCGTGACGAGCGTACTGATGACTGGCATGTGACCGGAGGCGAAGAACTCATCATAATCGGAAAATGTCGCTTCGTGGTGCCGAACGGCGGCGTTCCCTCGCTCTAAGCCTCAGACCGAATCGAGAGCGGATCCCCGAAGGTAAACTTCCAGCTGGGTCCTACTCTTCCTGCACTGGAGAGAAGGTGGCAACTCACCCGCGCATTTCCTCCCTTAAAAACCTACTGCCGCACCACGGCGTCATTGACGAGAAAAACAGCACCTGGATAAAGGCCCAGGGGGAGCAACGGCATGGAGGGCTGTACTGTAGTGTGCTCATTGGTGCAAAGGTTAATGCCACCTGCTCCGAATAGAACACGACTGAACCGATGTCTTGATCCAGCTCAGTGGCCAGGTCAAGGCCGTACCTTGTGAGGAGTTCTTTTCCTCCTCTCATTCTCCTCCGCCTCCGCCTTCTCCGCCTTCTCCTCCTCCTACTCCTCATCCTCCTTCTCATACTCCTTTCTCTGTCTCTGGTTGCACCCGAATCCGGGGTTACTGCATGTGATTAGTATGCTTACAATGTTTGGCACCAAGTCCAAATGCTGGCAACCACGCTGCCCGCTCTTGTCGTTCATTATCCTCGGTCGTGATCCACATTTGCAAGTGGCAGTGCGAACATCGGGTGTACTGTTAGACGTGGCACCTGTCACGTGATTGCGCCCTCCTCGCCTCCCCCCCCTCTGCTCTCTCTACACGAGCCATCGGCTCGCGCGGTGGCCCGCACACTGCAAGTCGGCCTCCGTATGGTTCTGGATATGCTTGGTGCACTTGGTCAGCATTATCACTGCTTCTGAGCAAGTGGTCGGGTGACGAGGAACAAAACGTGTATCCGCATGGCTTGCCGCCCCGTGGATCCCTAGTACTGTTTCTCGCCCAGCTGGCCCCTTGTGCGCGTCGCACTTGTCCACGGCCAAGCAGCCGCTGGAGAACGTGCAACACGCAGGCGCAGTGGGACACAGGACGGGGAGCCATGGATCGGCGGCGCGCCCAGGGGCGGTCCTTCTCAGAAGGCTCGGAAGGTCTCGGGCTTCCGAGAGGGCTCCTGAGCCTTCTGCGTAACCGCAGAGGGCAGCTCAGGAGGCCGGAGGACCTCTGAGAAGGCTGGACCCCTCGCACTTCTCCCCTCGGAGCGCCGCTGGTTGTAGACAGAGTCTCGTTGCTGCCATGAGGAACGCCGAGTATGGAACGAAGCCCCTTTTATCACGCCAGCCAGGGGAACGTGGGTGCACGAGGAGGGCCAGAGGAACCACAATTGAAGAACCTAAGAAATACCGAGCCCCTTCGTGACCCTAAGGGTTCCTCATGTCAGCGTCTGGGCTGCGCGCACGTGTGCTGCGGAACGGCCAACTGGACCCGCATTGCTCGCCGCCCCCTGGCCCCCTGCCTGCGTCCGGTCACGGCGGCCCTGCGTGCGCGCTGCACCTGCTCCGGGCCAGGCAGCCTCGGGCGATTGTGCAGCACGCAGGCCCGGTGGGGGGTGGGGCGGGAGGCCGTGGGAAGCCAATCCGTGCGCGGGGGAACAGAAGGGCACTCTGGATCGCTTGATACTCGCCCCCCCCCTTGGAGTGCCAGGGGGGTTGGCCGCGGCGCGTCCGCAGGGGTGCCAGGGAGGGTCTGGGATGCCTCCCCTTCCCCGCTGGGGCGCGGGGGTGGTGCCGGGGGAGGTGGGCCGCGCCGCGTTTTCGCGTTTGTCACCCCCCAATTGGTGAACAAGAAGTTCGGAGTACCGATACCGCCACTCCTCGGCCCTCTCCCGGGGGTGCGTTCTCCCAGACTTTCAGGGGGAGAATCCAGCCGCGGATCCTTCCCCCTCGGACGATCGGCGGCTCTCCGATCGCCAGGCCGTTGCATCTCTTGCCCGCTGCTGGGCCACCGGTGGCCATCGACCCCGAAGGCCCGCGGCGGGGTCCGCGCCGCGTCCTCGCGGCGCGAACCTGCCGTACATTGTCCTCCTGCGGATGTGATGCCACAGGAGGCGAGGCGGCCATCGAGGCAATGTGCGGCAGCGGGCGCAAGGTTGTTGTTAGCCGAGGGGCTTCGCGCGTGCGCACTCCGAGACTCTTTGCCTGGCAGCAGCAGCAGCAGCAGCTCACGAGACCGAAAAGGAATCAGTAGCAACTCCACTGCAACAACAGGACAGAGACTCAAAAGCAAAGGCGGGCGCAAGGAGTGGGGCGGGAAGCCCCGAGAGGGGTCGAGCCAGGCATGCCACAGGAGGCCAGGTTGTCACTGGAAAAGCATTCGACCACAAGCCCAGGGGCGCGGGAGGCCATTGTGGAATCGTTGGACGGAGGCGTCGGCATTGTCGACATCGCTTCTTCTTCGTGGCTGGCGTCGGCGTCCTCCTCCTCCTCCTCTCCTCCTCCTCCTCCCTCCCTCCCTCCCTCCTCCCTCCCTCCCTCCCTCCCTCCCTCCCTCCTCCCCCTGCTCGTCCTCCGCCTCGTGCGTCCTCTTCCCTCCCTCTCCATCCCCCTCCCTTCCACCTTCTCCTCCTCCTCCTCATCACCATCATCATCATCCTCTTTCGTTTCATCCTTTCCTCCCTCCTCCCTCCTCCTTGCTGCTCCCCATAGGAGGCCAAGCGGCCACCAGAAAACGCGCGACAGCCAGGCCCGGATCCTCACGAGGCAGACGAGAATCCGAAAGTGCAAACACCATTTGAAGGGAACAAATCCAGATGAACATATCCATGGAAGAACACAGGATGCCTACTATGTTCAATGGAGAAACAAATCCAACAAAATCCGTCGACAACACCCCGGAAAACCTGGGCAACCCATCCAGGAGGCATACCATAAGCGTCCCAGCATGTGATTGCAGCTGGCGCTCGAGCGGCACCACAATACCCACTTAGGGATGCGGCCGGCGCTGAGGCGAGAGCACCATGCCGAATGATGCGGCAGTGGCCAGCGCGAAGACGACAGCACCAGTCCCAGACGGGGATGTAGCCAGAGATCGGGCGAGAGCACCATTCCCGATCACGGATGTTGCTGGCACTCGACCGGCAACACCATACGTACCCAATAAAGGACTTGGCCGGCGTCGAGGCGGGAGCACCGCTCCCACTCAGAGACGTGGCCAGTGCGCAGTGTTGGGAGGATGTCTCAGGCGGAAGTGCCCAGACCAGCTCTCGCGCGGCATCTCGTAATCCACAATGGTGAAGATGTCTTGGGTGAAACTGCCTGGAGCACCT